GCTGTTTCAAATCCATCTAGCCTCTTAACTGTCCCCAATCAGCATTCTTAATTCCCTTTTGTTGTTTCCAAAAGTTAAAATATTTCTTTTTAATCTTTAAACTTAATCTTCTTTCTCCCAGGATAGAAGGAAATTCAGTGTTCAGCCACTTGCCTTTCAGGAGGTTTTTAACTGCCAAGTAAATAATTAATAGACAGTTTGCAATGTTAATTAAAAGAGGAAGCAAAAGCAAATCTAGTGTCCTTTTGAAGGCTCTGCACTATGGCTTGGACTTGATGTTTTTCCCTCCTTCCACCTGCTGGAGATTGCTAGATTGCAATCTCTTCACAGGGAGCCTCTGTAAGGAATGCCTGTGGGTGATCCTGTCATCTCCTTTATCTGGAGGTGATTCCGAAGAGCTGAACCAATTGCCAGCTCCTCTAATTGCCGTGGACTTCGGCTCCCCATAAAAAGGGAGCCATACTCAATCCACCATCTTCCCCGGAAGTCCTTGTCCTTCATATATCATGCTGCTACTACTCCTTTTTTTGGTCTGGTCTATTCTTCTTGAATAAAATATACTCTAAATCCTTAGAGTCTACTCATGAAATTCACCCCACCAGCTTTCAGTAATGTCTGTTAAATCATGTTTGTCTCCCTGCACTAAGACTTCTAGAGCTTGCTTGTTTCCCATGCCCTGTGCATGTGTGTGGTGACAATGGAATCTTTGGATCATGTAACTTGACTATTCCTTCCTCTGCTTACATGCTCTTTTTTTCCAGTGGACTGAATAAAAAGTGACCAGTATGAAGAAGTATGTCAATGAAATAGAGAGAACAGATTGAACTGCAAAATACATATATGCAGGAAGGGTGGATGGGGGAAGGGAAAGACCAAGAAAGTTGTGGTTGGATGGGGTTGATGAGATCCTCAAAAAGAAAGAGATCAAAAGCGCCTTCTGGGGAAGAAATGGCGAACTGTACGGAGCTGACAACAATGGTGGAATGAAGAGCTGGCGAGCAGACCGGCTTTTTGTAATTCCTCTCTGGACAAGGAAAGGAGATTGCCCACAAGTGCTCCATACAGTTGCTCCTCGCAAGGAGACCCCAAGACAGCAGTCTCCAGCAGGTTTAGAGCTTTGGGAGAGGAGGGAATAAACAACTTTGTTCAGACTGCAGTCAGTGCCTTTCCAAATGACACTGAGTTCACATACTTCCTTTTCTAATCACTTTCTGAAATTGCTTAATTGCTTTTCAGCTATTAGGAACCTCTGGATCAACAAGTTTTACAGCACCAGGTGAGTTTCAATCCTTAGCGAAAGAAGTTTTAACTACAAGTTGAGGGACTTAATTTTTTTTCTTTTGGAATAAACAGCAAAAGGGTGATTAGAATCTTGATTTTGGAAAGTTACAAAAGGACCAGATGGATTTGAAATAAGATTTTGGAATTAATTATAAGAATCCTTCCCATGGGAAAATGTTTTTGTTTTCAATGGAACAAAAATATTTTAACATTCGACATATTGAAGGTAAGAATCCTTCCCATGGGAAAATGTTTTTGTTTTCAATGGAACAAAAATATTTTAACATTCGACATATTGAAGGGGACCAGATGGATTTGAAATAAGATTTTGGAATTAATTATAAGAATCCTTCCCATGGGAAAATGTTTTTGTTTTCAATGGAACAAAAATATTTTAACATTCGACATATTGAAGGATATTTTTGAACAATGGACCAAAAAGTTAATTTTAAGAATGTCTGCCTCTGTAGATAGACTGTGTTTCAAAGATATTATGGAAAAGGAACAAGTTTTCTTGGAGAAGACAGACTGATTTGAAAGTGGACTTAAAGTGAAAGACTACAAGAATGATATGGAAAAAGATACACTGGACATACAAATGAAACTGGCTGATTTCTTAATAATTAAAAGAGATATACAAATAACAAACCAAAACAGTGACTTGGATAATTTTTCTATATTGGATTTACAAAAGAGTCTTGTTAAAGCTTTGAAGAATTTTATGAGAAGGGATAAAGAAAAAATGAAAAGAAATCAAGTTCTAGGACATTATTGGAAGGGACTAAAGATTAAGACTGTTAAAAGTAAAAGGAATATAAAGTTGGTTTATTTGATCAAGGTTAAAACAGATATGTTGTTATCTCTGGTAACCCTTAATGGACTTCTGCTGATCAGGAATGAATGATGAGGCTTTAAGGATTTGTTTATAGATAAGAGATGGGATATGGAGAGAAGAGATCATTTGTTGTAAAGAGAAGTTTGTTTCTTGGGAGAAAGCCTATGACAGATTTAGGAAAATATTAAAGTAAAGATACATCATCAAGGCCATGGTTATCCCAGATGGAATATCTGACTCTGAAATGTATACCACCAGAAAGGCTGAATGGAGAAAAGTGTATTCTTTTGTATTGTGGTGCTGGAGAAATACAAAGCCAAAACTTA